TGATATAGGTGGATATAATGGGGCTATGGGGGGGTCTATAGGGGGGATTTTGAGGGGTCTATAGGGGGGTCCATAGGGGGATACAATGGGGTTATGTGGGGGTCCATAGGGAATATGGGGGGGGAAATAAGGGCGGATAAAGGGAATATATAGAACAAGGATATAGCGGGTATGAAGCCCCAAACCCCAGTTAGTACCCCTATAGACCCCCGCAGACCCCCTGTAGGCCCCCACAGACCCCCTGTAGGACCCCATATCCCCCCATATCCCCCACATAGACCCCCATATCCCCCCTGTAGGACCCCACAGACCCATATCCCCCCTATATCGCCCCATATCCCCCCATATCCCCCCTGTAGACCCCCATATCCCCCCCATAGACCCCCATATCCCCCCCATAGGACCCCATATCCCTCCCCAGACCCCCATATCCCCCCCATAGACCCCCATATCCCCCCCATAGGACCCCCATATCCCTCCCCAGACCCCCATATCCCCCCCACAGGACCCCATATCGCCCCCCAAGCACCTGTACGCCCTCCCTCGGGCCCGGCTGTACCCGCTGTAGAAGCGGGCCCTGGAGGCGCTGAAGCCGCCGGCGCGGCCCCGGAAGCGGCTGCGGGGGAAGCCCCTGTCCGTGGTGCTGATCCCGGGCCGGTTCGTGCGCTTCGGGATCACCTGGGCGGGGCGACAGGGCGGAGCTTAGCCATATATGGGGGACAGTGAGGGGAAAGGGGGTGTGGTTTAGACATATAGGGGAGGAGCCAACGGTAAAGAGGCACGGTTTAGCCATATAGGGGTGGCAGCGAGTCTAAAGGGGCGTGGTTTAGCCATATGTGGGTGGTGCTAATGGCAAAGGGGCGTGGTTTAGTCATATAGAATATATAGGAGCTCCATATACCCCTTTAAGGGGTACCTATATATCCCTATAGGAGAGATCTATACAACCCTATAGCAGCGCTCTATATACCCCTATAGGACTCTATAAATGAATCTATATATCCCATAAGAGGCCTCTATATACCCCTATAGAAGGACTCCATATACCCCTATGGGGGGCTCTAGATACCCCTATAAGGGGGATCTATACACCCCTAAAGGAGGACTCTGTATACCCCTATAGGAGGACTCCATATACCCCTATGGGGGCTCTATATACCCCTATAAGAGGACTCTATACACCCCTATAGGAGGACTCTGTATGCTCCTATGGGGGCTCTATATACCCCTATAAGAGGACTCTATACACCCCTATAGGAGGACTCTGTATACTCCTATGGGGGCTCTATATACCCCTATTAAGAGGACTCTATACACCCCTATAGGAGGACTCTCTATACCCCTATAGGGGGCTCTATAGGGGGCCCTACCTTGATCTGCCTCCCTCGGAAGAGGGACTCATCCAGGGCCATCGATGTCCGCACGGACTCCTTGTCGGAGAACTCGATGTAGGCGAAGCTGGAAGGGGCACGGGGGGTCCGTTACGGCCCCTACGGGGATTTTGGGGTGAAATCCAGGGGTTTTGGGTCATTTTGGGCGGCACGCACCCCTTTGGGTGCCCGCTGTACTTGTCACACAGGATGGTGACGCGGTTGACGGAGCCGCAGCCATGGAAGTGGGCCTCCAGCTCCTCCGCCGTCGCCCCATAGTCCACCTGCAGGGGGGCAAGAGGGGGCCCAGTCACCCCTACGGCACTTGGGCGGCAGCCCCACTGAGGCCCCATTGACTCACGTTGCCCACGTAGATGGAGCGAGCGTCGGCTTCCATCTTCTCCTCCAAGGACATGATGACCGGGCCGGCTGCAGGGGACACAGACACCCCATAGAGCCCCATAGCGCCCCACAGGCACCCTGTAGGCACCCTACAAAGCCCCACAGACCCCCTATAGAGGCCCATAGGCACCTTACAGTGCCCATAGTCCCCCACAGACCCCACATAGACCCGTGTAGAGCCCCACAGACCCCCCATAGAGCCCCACAACCCCCTATGGACCCACCATTGCCCGGCGGGGGGCTCATGTTCATCTGTTTCTCCACCTCGTTCTGCAGCTCCTTGAGCTTCTCGGCCTCCTCCTCCATCTCCCGCACCCGGGCCTTGATGGCCTCCAGCTCCTGGGGGGGCAACAGGGGAGGAGTGGGGCCATGCACCCCATAACCCCCCTATAGCCCCCCCATAACCATATTGCCCCTATAGCACCATATAATAACCCCTATATTCTCTCTATAACCCTTATATCTGCTTCACAACCCTCTATAACCCTCAGAGCTCCTCTGTAACCCCCTATAACCCCTTTATAATGCCCCCATATCCCCTCTATAACCCCCGTATTTCCCCTGTAGCACCATATAATAACCCCTACATCCTCCCTATAACCTGCATAACCCCCCAATATCACCATAAAATATACCCTCTATAACCCCATAAAGCGCCCCATATCCCCCCATAACGGCATATAATAACACCTATATCCCCAAGAACCACATAAAGTCCCCCATATCCGCCCTATAACCCCCATATTCCCTCAGGACACCATGAAACGCCTATATCCCACCTGTAACACTATATAGCTCCCTATATGACCCATATCCCCCTCCATAACACCCATAAGCCTTCTATAACTCCCACATGCCCCCTATAGCACCATATAACCCCTAAATCCCCCCTATAACACTATATAGCTCCTTATATCACCCCTATAACCCCCATAGCCCCCTATAGCACCATATAACCCCTATATCCCCCTACAGCACCATATATCCCCTAAATCCCCCCATAACACTATATATCTCTTTATATCACCCCTATAACCCCCCTATAGCACCATATAACCCCTAAATCCCCCCTATAACGCTATATAACTCCCTATACCCCCCATAACCCCCCGATAGCACCATATAATCCCCCATATCCCCCCATAACACTATAGAGCTCCCTGTACCTCCCATATCCCCCCATAAGAACCCCTATATTCCCTATAACACCAAGAAGCCCCCCGTATGCCCCTATATTCCCCCATAGCACCATATAATCCCCCATAACACTATATAGCTCCCTATAACCCCGCTATAGCACCATATAACCCCTAAATCCCCCCTATAACAATATACAGCTCCTTATATCACCCCTATAACCCCCTTAGAGCACCATATAACCCCTATATCCCCCCTATAACCCAGATATCCCCCTACAGCACCCCATAAGAACCCCTATATCCCCTATAACGCCAAGAAGCGCCCTATATCCCCCCATAACACCGTAGAGCTCCTTATATCACCCCTATAACCCCCATATAACCCCCAAATCCCCCCTATAACCCAGATATCCCCCCGTAGCAACCCACAAGAACCCCTATATCCCCCTATAACGCCAAGAAGCGCCCTATATACCCCCATAACACTATAGAGCTCCTTATATCACCCCTATAACCCCCCTAGAGCACCATATAACCCCCAAATCCCCCCTATAACCCAGATATCCCCCCTAGAACACCCCACAAGAACCCCTATATCCCCCTATAACGCCAAGAAGCGCCCTATATCCCCCCTATATCCCCCCATAACACTATAGAGTTCCTTATATCACCCCTATAACCCCCTAGAGCACCATATAACCCCCAAATCCCCCCTATAACCCAAATATCCCCCCTATAGCACCCCGTAAGAACCCCTATAACTCCAAGAAGCGCCCTATATCCCCCCATAACACTATAGAGCTCCTTATATCACCCCTATAACCCCCCTAGAGCACCATATAACCCCTATATCCCCCCAATAACCCAGATACCTCCCCACAGCACCCCGTAAGTACCCCTATAACGCCAAGAAGCGCCCTATATCCCCACACAACCCCCCACAACGCTGTATAGCCCCCCCGTCCCCGCCACGTGACCCTTTTCCCGCCATCTCAGACCACGTGCTCCCCGTTACCGGGTCCTCAATGGCGGCGTCCCCTCCGTCGCCATCGCCCAGCCCGGCCTCCTCCTCCTCCAGCTCCTCGGCGCCCTCCTGCGGCGGGTGCGGGCGGCGGCAGCGCCGGAACCGGAACCGGCACCGGCACCGGGAACCCCCCCCCCTCCTCCTCCTCCTCCTCCTCCTCCTCCTCCGCCCCCACCGGGGGCCGGCTCCCCCCCGGCCCCGCCGCTCCCCCCGCGGCCCCGCGGCCTCCTCCGCCCCCCGCCGCCCTCCCGAGCCCCGCGGCCTCCTCCGGCCCGCCCGCCCCGACCCCGTTGCCGTAATGGGCTCCGCTGTCCCCCGCGGCCCGGAGCCGCTCCCGGAGGCCGCGGCCGCCGCCGCTTCGGCCCCGCGCTGCCCCGCACCGCCGCCCCGCAGCGCCGCCATGGCCGCCCCGAGCCCGACTGAGCCTGCGCGCCGCGGGGCGGCGGGGCTTACGTGAGGCGGCGGCCAATGGCAGGCCGCGCGGGGGGCGCGGGGGGCGGGCTTGGCGGGCGGAGGGCCAATGGGAGCGCGAGGACGGGGGAAGGGGCGGTGCTTGCGCTTGAAGGGGACGCGCGGAGGGCGGGAAGCGGGTCGGCCCTGAGGCGGCGGGCGGCGGGCGGGTTTAACCCCATTTTAACCCGTTTTAAGCCAAATTTAACCCGTTTTAACCCAAATTTAACCCGTTTTAACCCAAATTTAACCGATTTAACCCAATTTTAACCCCATTTTAACCGGTTTTAACCCAAATTTAACTGGTTTTAACCCGGTTTAACCCGATTTTAACCCGTTTTAACCCAAATTTAACTGGTTTTAACCCGATTTAACCCAATTTTAACCAGATTTAAACCAATTTTAACCCAATTTTAACCCGGTTTAACCCAATTTTAACCAGATTTAAACCAATTTTAACCCCATTTTAACTCGGTTAACCCAATTTTAACCCGGTTTAACCCAATTTTAACCCGGTTTAACCCAATTTTAACCCGGTTTAACCCAATTTTAACCGATTTTAACCGCTTTTAACCCAATTTTAAGCGCTTTTACCGGTTTTAACCCAATTTTAACCGATTTTAATCCAATTTTAAACGCTTTTAACCGGTTTTAACCCAATTTTAACCAATTTTTAAACCGGTTTTAACCCAATTTTAACCATTTGAACTCAATTTTAACCGGTTTTAGCCCAATTTTAACCCATTTTAACCTAATTTTAACCCGGTTTAACCCATTTTTAACTGGTTTTAACCCGGTTTAACCCAGTTTTAACCCAATTTTAACCCAGTTTTAACCCGTTTTAACCCATTTTAACCCGTTTTTAACTGGTTTTAACACAATTTTAACCCATTTTTAACCCACTTTTAACCAGGTTTAACCCAATTTTAACCGGTTTTCACCTATTTTTAACCCGTTTTAACCCATTTTTGACAGGTTTTCACCCATTTTTGACCGGTTTTCACCCATTTTTAACCATTTAAAAGGCGTTTTTAGCGTAGGGAAAGCTTTTTTAGCCTTTTTTGCCTTTTAAGCGTTTTTTTGCACCCGTTTTCATCCTTTTTTGACCCATTTTCTAAATTTGAACCCATTTCTAACCTCTTTTTAGTCATTTTTTGTCACTTGGAATCCCTTTTTAGCCGATTTCGCTTTTCAAACACATTTTAAACCATTTTAATCTTTTTAAACCCATTTTTTACCCACTTTTAACCTTTATAAGCCTTTTAAACGCATTTTTAACCTTTATAAACAGTTTTACCCCATTTTTAACATTTATAAAAGGGTTTTACCCCGTTTTTAACCTTTATAACCCTTTTTTACCCCATTTTTACCCTTTATAAACCCTTTTGAACCATTTCCCGGCACAGTTGACCTCAGAAAATCACCCTTTTGATCGATTTTGACCCATTTTACCCCTTTACAGGTGTTTTGTAGCCAATGGGAAACACCCCGCCCCTTCTTAATGCCTTTTTAACCCGTTTTTAACCTATTTTTACCCCTTTTTGACCGGGTTTTACACCTTTTTACCCTTTTAAACCCATTTTCTAGCACTTTTTACCACAGAAAATCCCAGATTGGAGGGATTTTGATGCATTTCCCACCTCGGTGCAATGGGATATGGCGGAATAGTGGGGATAAAGGGGTGCATTAACGGGCTATAGGGGGATAAAGGGGGGTATAATGGGATATAGGGGGATAAAGGGGGGTATAATGGGATATAGGGGGGATAAAGGGGTGCATAACGGGCTATAGGGGGATAAAGGGGGGTATAATGGGCTATAGGGGGATAAAGGGGGGTATAATGGGATATAGGGGGGATAAAGGGGTGCATAATGGTCTATAGGGGGGATAAAGGGGTGCATCATGGGCTATAGGGGGATAAAGGGGGGTATAATGGGATATAGGGGGGATAAAGGGTGCATAATGGGCTATAGGGGGGATAAAGGGGTGCATAATGGGCTATAGGGGGATAAAGGGGGGTATAATGGGATATAGGGAGGATAAAGTGGTATATAATGGGATATAGGGGGGCTAAAGGGGTATATAATGGGATATAGGAGAGTTAAAGGGCTATATAATGGGATATAGGAGGGAAATAAGGATATATAATGGGATATAGGAGGGAAATAGGAGTATATAATGGGATATAGCGGGGATAAAGGGGTATCTAATGGGATATAGGGCAGGTAACGGGATATATAACGGGATATAACGGGTATAAAGGGGTGCATTAGGGGATATCGAGGCTCTATAGAGCTCTATAAGGGTTCTATAGGGGCTCTATAGGGCTCCATAAGGGCCCCCATAGGCGCCCGCAGCTCCCTATAAGGGCACGGGGAGGGGGGGCTCGTCCCGGCCCTTCCCACCGGGAATGGCGGCCCGGCCCCACGTGACCCCCATTCCCTTCCTTCCTCCTCCTCCTCCTCCTCCTCCTCCTCCTGGAGCCGCACCTGAGGGCGAAGGTCCCGGACACGGTACGGGCACCCCTATAGGGGCCTATGGGGCCTATGGGGCCCTTAAATACCCCCTTAAACCCCCTTGGGACCCCCTGAAATCCCCTTTGGAACCGCGTGGATCCCTATGGAACCCCTTAGACCCACCTTAAAGGCCCCTTAAACCCCATGGGAACTCCTTAACCCCCACCTTTGGGCCCCTATGGAACCCCTTAAATTCCCTTAAAATCCCCCTTTGGGCCCCTTAAACCCCATTGGAACTCCTTACCCCCCTTTGGGCCCCTATGGAACCCCTTAAATTCCCTTTAAATTCCCCTTTGGGCCCCTTAAACCACATTGGAACTCCTTACCCCCCTTTGGGCCCCTATGGAACCCCTTAAATTCCCTTTAAATTCCCCTTTGGGCCCCTTAAACCACATTGGAACTCCTTACCCCCCCTTTGGGCCCCTATGGAACCCCTTAAATTCCCTTTAAATTCCCCTTTGGGCCCCTTAAACCCCATTGGAACTCCTTAAACCCCCGTAAAGCCCCCCTTGGGCCCCTATGGACCCTTATGGACCCCCTTAAACCACCTTAAAACCCCTTTAAAGCCCCCCTTGGGGGCCCTATGGACCCTTATGGAACCCCTTAAACCATCTTAAAACCCCTTTAAAGCCCCCCTTGGGCCCCTATGGAACCCCTTAAACCACCTTAAAACCCCTTTAAACCCCCCCTGGGGCCCCTTAAACCCCATTGGAACAGCTTGGGCCCCCCTTAAGCCCTATTTAAACCCTCTCTTTGGGCCCCTTTAAGCCCCTCTTTACACCCCATAGACCCCCTTAAACCCCTTTGGGCCCCATTTCCCCCCCATTTAACCTCATTTTTTCCCCATTTCCCCCCATTTCTCCCTCCTTTAACCCCATTTTCCCCCATTTTCCCCCATTTTCAACTCTTTTAACCCCATTTTCCACCCCATTTCCACTTCTTTTAACCCCATTTCCCCTACTTTTAACCCCATTTTCCCCCTTTTAACCCAATTTTTCCCCATTTAACCCCATTTTCCCCTCTTTTACCCCCTTTAACCCCATTTTCCCCATCTAACCCCATTTCCCCCTCCTTTAATCCCCTTTTCCACCCCCTTTAACCCCATTTTCCCTCATTTAACCCCATTTTCCCCTCTTTTAACCCCATTTCCATGCCATTTAACCCCATTTCCCCATCTAACCCCATTTCCACGCCATTTAACTGCATTTTCCCCCATTTTCCCCTCTTTTAACCCCGTTTTCCACCCCATCTAACCCCATTCCCCCATTTAACCCCATTTTCCCCTCTTTTAACCCCATTTTCCCCTCTTTTAACCCCATTTCCATGCCATTTAACCCCATTTTCCCCCATTTTCCCCTCTTTTAATCCCATTTTCCCCTCTTTTAACCCCTTTTTTCACCCCTTTTAATCCCATTTCCCCCCATTTTCCCCTCTTTTAACCCCATTTCCCCCCCTTGCAGCCCCAGGACCCCCCCACGGCCGCCATGGTAGAAGGGACCCCAAAGACGGGGGCGCCCCCTGGCGGCGCGGGGGTGTCCCTGAAGAAGGAGATCGGGCTCCTGAGCGCCTGCGGCATCATTGTGGGTGAGCACTGATTTGGGGCCAATTCCTGCGGGTTTGGGGCTTTTTCCTGCGCTTTGGGGCATTGTCCTTCTTTTTGGGGGCATATTCCTTCATTTGGGGTCATTTTCCTTCATTTTGGGGGGTTATTCTATCATTTAGGGGTGGTAGTCCCACTATTTGGGTCATAATTGCATGCTTTGGGGGTTTATTCCCAGTTTTGGGGGGCTATTCCTTCATTTTGGGGCTATTCCTTCATTTTCAGCTGTTATCCACACATTGGGGCTTACGTTCATTCATTTCTCCCCCATTGTCCCCATTCCCCCCATTCCCCCATTGACCCCCATTCATTCCCATCCCCATTCACACCATTGACCCCCATTCCTCCACTGACCCCCATTCATTCCCACCCCCATTGCCCCCCATTCATTCCCATCCCTATTCCCCCCCATTGTTCCCCATTCATTCCCATCCCCTTTCACCCCATTGACCCCAATTCCCCCCATTGACCCCCATTCATTCCCACCCCCATTGACCCCCCTTTACCCCCATTCATTCCCATCCCCATTCCCCCCATTGACCCCCTTGCCCCCCATTGATCACATTGTTTCCCATTCATTCCCATTGCCCCCCATGGATCCCATTGTCCCCTCATTCATCCCCATTGATCCCATTGCCCCCCATTCATTCCCACCTGCATTGACCCCATTGCCCCCATTGCCCCCCATTCATTCCCATCCCCATTGATCCCATTGCCCGCCATTGCCCCCATTGCCCCCCCATTGCCCCCCATTCATTCCAATCCCCACTGCCCCCCATTGATCCCACTGCCCCCCATTCATTCCCATTGCCCCCCATTCATTCCCATTGTCCCCCATGGATCCCATTGTCCCCCCATTCATCCCCATGGATCCCATTGTTCCCCCATTCATCCCCATTGCCCCCCATCGCCCCCCATTCATTCCCATCCCCATTGATCCCATTGCCCCCCATTGATCCCATTGCCCCCCATTGATCCCACTGCCCCCCATTGATCCCATTGCACCCCATTGATCCCACTGCCCCCTATTGACCCCATTGCACCCCATTGATCCCACTGCCCCCCATTCATTCCCATCCCCACTGCCCCCCATTGACCCCACTGCCCCCCATTGATCCCCATAGGGAACATCATCGGCTCGGGGATCTTCATCTCCCCCCGGGGGGTGCTGGCGCACGCGGGCTCCGTGGGGCTGGCGCTGCTGCTGTGGGGGGGGGCGGGCGTGCTCACAGCCATGGGGGCCCTGTGCTACGCGGAGCTGGGCCTCAGCATCCCCCGCGCGGGGGGGGACTACGCCTACGTCAAGGACGTCTTCGGGGGCCTCGTGGGGTGAGCCGCGCCCCCCACAGCCGCAATGGGGCTGACCCATAGCATCAGTGGGGCTGCCCCATAGCGGCAAAGGGGATGGGCCAGAGAATCCATTCTCCCCCATCACCCCTATCCCCATTTACCCCCATGACTCCCCATCCCCATTCACCCCGTTCACCCCCATTTACCCCCATTACCCCCATCCCATTGATCCCCATTCATCCCCATTGACCCCCATAGACCCCCGTTCACCCCCATTACCCCCATCCCATTGATCCCCATTCATCCCCATTTACCCCCATTGACCCCGATTTACCCCATTCACCCCCATTACCCCCATCCCCATCGGTCCCCATTCATCCCCATTGACACCCACTGATCCCCATTGACCCCCATTACCCCCATCCCCATTGATCCCCATGGACCCCCATAGACCCCCATTCCCCCCTTGACCCCCACTGACCTCCATTCCCCCCATCCCCATTGACCCCCATTCCCCCATTGACCCCCATTCCCCCCATCCCCATTGACCCCATAGACCCCCATTCCCCCCCATTCCCCCCCATTGACCCCACTGATCCCCATTGAGCCACACTGGCCCCCATTGACCCGCACTGACCCCCGCTGGCGCCATGGCAGGTTCCTGCGGCTCTGGGTCTCGGTGCTGGTGATCCTCCCCACCACGCAGGCCGTCATCGCCCTCACCTTCGCCACCTCCCTCCTGACCCCGCTGGTGCCGCGGGGCTGCCCCTTGCCCGAGCCCGCCCTCAGGCTGCTGGCGGCCGCCGCGCTGCGTGAGTGGGGGGAACACCCGAAACTGGGGGGGTTCGGCACAGATCGGGGAGGTTTACACCGGAATTGGGGGGGTTTACACCAAAATTGGGAAATTTACACCAAAGTTGGGGAAATTTACACCAGAATTGGAAAATTTACACCAAAATTGGGGAAATTTACACCAAAGTTGGGAAATTTACACCAAAGTTGGGGAAATTCACACCAAAATTGGGGGAATTTACACCAGAATTGGGAAATTCACACAAAAATTGGGAAATTTACACCAAAATTGGGGGAATTTACACCAAAATTGGGAAATTTACACCAAAGTTGGGGAAATTTACACCAAAGTTGGGGAAATTGAAACCAGATTTGGGAAATTTACACCAAAATTGGGGAAATTTACACCGGAATTGGAAAATTTACACCAAAATTGGGGAAATTTACACCAAAGTTGGGGAAATTTACACCAAAATTGGGGGAATTTACACCAAAATTGGGGAAATTTACACCAAAGTTGGGAAATTTACACCAAAGTTGGGGAAATTCACACCAAAATTGGGGGAGTTTACACCAGAATTGGGAAATTCACACCAAAATTGGGAAATTTACACCAAAATTGGGGGAATTTACACCAGAATTGGGAAATTTACACCAAAGTTGGGGAAATTTAGACCAGAATTGGGAAATTTACAACAGAGTTGGGAAATTTACACCAAAATTGGGGAAATTTACAACAGAATCAGGGAAATTTACACCAATGTTGGGGAAATTTACACCAGAATTGGGAAATTTACACCAGAATTGGGAAATTTACACCAAAATTGGGAAAATTTCCACCAGAACTGGGAAATTTACACCAAAATTGGGGAAATTTACACCAAAGTTGGGGAAATTTACACCAAATCGGGGACATTTACACCACAATCAGGGAAATTCAGCTGAAATCGGGGAAATACACCCAGAATTGGGGAAATTCAGCCCCAAATAGGTGAAATCTATACCAAAATTGGTGAAATGCACCCAAAATTGCACCACTCTATACCCCCCTATACCCTCCTATACCCTGCTATACCCCGTATACCCCTTATACCTCTCTATACCTGCTATACCCCCTATAATCCCCTATACCACCTATAACCCCCCCTACCCCTATAGACCCCCTTAGCCCCCTATACCCTCCTATACCCCCTTATACCCCCTATACCCCCCTACACCCCTCTGTAGGCCCCTATACCCCTCTACACTCCCCTATACCCCCTGTACCCCTCTATACTCCTATCCACCCCATCCCCCCCTATACCCCTCTATACCCGCCTATACCCCCTATCCCCCCCAATACCTGTCTATAGGGCCCTATACCCCCCATACCCCCCATAGGCCCCCATAGCCCCTGGCGCCCCGCAGCCCCCTCTAGCGGCCGCCGCTGCCGTTGCAGTGCTGCTGACCTGGGTTGGCTGCAGCAGCGCCCGCTGGGCCACGCGCGTCCAGGACCTCTGCACCGCCGGCAAGCTCGTGGCGCTGGGCATCGTCATCGGAGCCGGCCTGCACCGCATCGGCACGGGTCAGTGACCAAAAACACCCCAAAACACCCCAAAAACACCCCCAAAACACCTGCACCGCATCGGCACGGGTCAGTGACCAAAAACACCCCAAAAACACCCCCAAAACACCTGCACCGCATCGGCACGGGTCAGTGACCAAAAACACCCCAAAACACCCCAAAAACACCCCCAAAACACCTGCACCGCATCGGCACGGGTCAGTGACCAAAAACACCCAAAAACACCCCAAAAACACCCCCAAAACACCCCAAAACACCTGCACCGCATCGGCACGGGTCAGTGACCAAAAACACCCCAAAACACCCCAAAAACACCCCCAAAACACCTGCACCGCATCGGCACGGGTCAGTGACCAAAAACACCCCAAAACACCCCAAAACCACCCCCAAAACACCTGCACCGCATCGGCACGGGTCAGTGACCAAAAACACCCAAAAACACCCCAAAAACACCCCCAAAACACCTGCACCGCATCGGCACGGGTCAGTGACCAAAAACACCCCAAAACACCCCAAAAACACCCCCAAAACACCCCAAAACACCTGCACCACATCACCACGGGTCAGTGACCAAAAACACCCCAAAACACCCCAAAAACACCCCCAAAACACCCCAAAACACCTGCACCACATCACCACGGGTCAGTGACCAAAAACACCCAAAAACACCCCAAAAACACCCCCAAAACACCTTGAAACACCCATAGACCACATAGACCCCCTATAACCCCCATTATCCCCTGATAGCCCCCCATACCACCCCACAGACCCCCTATAACACCCCACAGACCCCATATACCACCCCATAGACCCCCTATAACCCATATGGACCCCCTATAGACCCCCATGACACCCCATAGACCCCCTATGACACCCCATAGACCCCCTATAACCCCTATAGACCCCCTATAACTCCCCCTGTGACACCCCACAGACCCCCATTACCCCCCATAGCCCCCCTGTAATACCCCATAACCCCCCTATAACACCCCACAGACCCCATATACCACCCCATAGACCCCCTATAACCCATATAGACCCCCTATAGACCCCCTATGACACCCCATAGACCCCCTATGACACCCCATAGACCCCCTATAACCCCTATAGACCCCCTATGACACCCCATAGCCCCCCTATAACCCCTATAGACCCCCATAACTCCCCCTATGACACCCCATTACCCCCCCTATAACCCCCCCCTTGCCCCATAGGGCAGCCCGGGTGGCTGAGCCCGGCTCAGGCCTTCCAGGCGTGGGTGCCGCCGAGCGGGGGGGGCCTGGCCCTGGCCTTCCTGCAGGGCTCCTTCGCCTACGGGGGGTGGAACTTCCTCAACTACGTCACCGAGGAGCTGCGCCAGCCCCACAGGTGCCTGCGGGGTGAAGCCGGGGGGGTTTGGGTCCCTTTGGGTCGGTTTGGGTCAGTTTGGGGTGAATCCAGGGGGATTTGGGTCCCTTTGGGGTGAATCCAGGGGGATTTGGGTCAGTTTGGGGTGAATTCAGGGGGGTTTGGGTCAGTTTGGGGTGAATTCAGGGGGGTTTGGGTCAGTTTGGGGTGAATCCGGGGGGATTTGGGTCAGTTTGTTGTGAATCCGGGGGGATTTGGGTCAGTTTGGGGTGAATCCGGGGGGATTTGGGTCAGTTTGGGGTGAATCCAGGGGGATTTGGGTCAGTTTGGGGTGAATCCGGGGGGATTTGGGTCAGTTTGGGGTGAATCCAGGGGGAGTTTTTGGTTCATTTCGGGTTCATTTTTGGTTCATTTTGGGTTCATTTCTGGTTCATTTTGGGTTCATTTTGGGTCATTTCGGTTCATTTTGGGTTCATTTTGGGTCATTTTGGGTCATTTCGGTTCATTTTGGGTCATTTTGGGTTCATTTTGGTTCATTTTGGGTCATTTTGGGTCATTTCGGTTCATTTTGGTTCATTTTGGGTCATTTTGGTTCATTTTGGGTTCATTTCGGGTAATTTTGGGTCATTCCGTGCGAGCTGCCGCCCCCTGTGCCCCACAGGAACCTCCCCCTCGCCATCTTCATCTCCATCCCATTGGTCACCTTCGTCTACGTGGCCGCCAACGCCGCCTACGTCACCGCCATGGACCCCCAGGAGATCCTCCAATCAGAGGCCGTCGCCGTCGTAAGCCACGCCCCCTTCACGCCATAAGACACGCCCCCTCCCTGAAGCCACGCCCCCTCCGTGCCACACATCCTGCCCCATAACCTGCCCCCTATCCCCCCATAACCCGCCCCCTATCCCCCCATAACCCGCCCCCTATCCCCCCCATAACCAACCCCCTATACCCCCCATAACTTACCCCCTATCTCCCCCATAACCAACCCCCTATACCCCCCATAACTTACCCCCTATCTCCCCCCATAACCCGCCCCCATCCCCCCCATAACCCGCCCCCTATCCCCCCCATTACCTACCCCCATCTCAACCCCCATAACCTGCGCCCTGTATCCCCCCATAACCTACCCCCTATCCCCCCCATAACCCGCCATCTCCTGCCCCATAACCTGCCCCCTATCTCCTGCCGTATAACCTACCCTCCTCTCCCGCCCTATAACCCGCCCCCATCCCCCCCATAACCTGACCCCTATCCCCTCCATAACCTACCCCCTATCTCAACCCCTATAACCCGCCCCCTGTACCCCCCCCAAGCCGCCCCTATCCCCCCCATAACCAACCCCCTATCTCCCCATAACCCGCCCACTGTACCCCCCCCAACCCGCCCCCTATCCCCCCCATAACCCGCCCTCTATCTCCTGCCCCATAACCCGCCCACTGTACCCCACCCAACCTGCCCCCTATCTCCTGCCCCATAACCAACCCCCTATCCCCCCCATAACCCGCCCCCTATCTCCTGCCCCATAACCTACCCCCTGTACCCCCCCATAACCCACCCCCTATCCCCCCATAACCAACCCCCTATCCCCCCCATAACCCACCCCCTATCCCCCCATAACCAACCCCCTATCCCCCCCATAACCAACCCCCTATACCCCCCATAACCAACCCCCTATACCCCCCATAACTTACCCCCTATCTCCCCCCCATAACCCGCCCCCTATCCCCCCCATAACTACCCCCATCTCAACCCCCATAACCGGCCCCCTATCTCCTGCCCCATAACCACCCCCCTGTACCCCCCCCCATAACCCGCCCCCTATCTCCCCCTAACCAACCCCCTGTACCCCCATAACCCGCCCCCTATCTCCCGCCCCACAGACCTTTGGTGAGCGGGCCCCTGGGCGCCCTGGCCTGGACCATGCCCGTGGGGGTCGCCCTCTCCACCTTCGGGGGGGTCAACGGCTCCCTCTTCACCTGCTCCAGGTGAGCTCCCCTGCCCCATAGCGCTCCCCTGCCCCATAGCGGGACGGGGCGGGGAGGGGCACGCCCCCCCCCGGGGGTGACGTCACGGAGGCGCCTTTGTGACGTCACGCGCGGGCGGCGCCCCCCGCAGGCTGCTGTACGCGGGGGCCCGCGAGGGGCAGCTCCCCCCGCTGCTGGGGATGATCCACGTGGAGCGGAGCACCCCCCTGCCGGCCCTGCTGCTGAGCGTGAGCACCCCCGCGACCCACGGAGACCCATAGGGACCCACAGCGACACATAGGGACCCACAGGGACCCATAGAGAACCATAGTGACACATAGAGAACCCATAGGGACCCATAGGGACCCACAGCGACACATAGGGACCCACAGGGACCCATAGAGAACCATAGAGAACCATAGTGACCCATAGAGACCCATAGGGACCCATAGAGACCCATAGGGACCCATAGAGACCCATAGGGACCCATAGAGATCCATAGGGATCCATAGAGAACCCATAGGGACACATAGAGACACATAGCAACCCATAGCGACCCACAGAGACCCATAGAGAACCCATAGCGACCCACAGCGACCCATAGAGAACCCATAGTGACCCATAGAGAACCCATAGGGACCCATAGGGATCCATAGAGACCCATAGAGACCCCTATAGTGACCCCCCTATAGAGACCCTATAGAGATCCCTGTAGAGACCCTATAGAAAGAGACCCCTATAGAGACTTCCCTATAGGGACCCTATAGAGAACCACCTATAGAGATCCCTATAGAGAGAGACCCCTATAGAGGGAGACCCTATAGAGAGAGACCCTATAGAGACCCCTATAGACACCCTTATAGAGACCCTATGGAGCCCCTATGGAGCCACCTACAGACACCCCTATAGACCTGCCTATGGCCCCTATAGACACCCCTATGGCCCCTGTAGAGCCACCTATGGTCCCTATAGACACCCCTATGGACCCTATAGACACCCCTATACTCCCTATAGGCCCACCCCATTGCCCCATAGACACCCCTATAGTCCCTATAGGCACACTCTCTTACCCTATAGACCCACCCCCTTGCCCTATAGACACCCCTATACTCCCTATAGACCCACCCCCTTGCCCCATAGACACCCTATAGTCCCTATAGACCCACTCTCTTACCCTATAATCCCTATAGACGCCCCTATAGTCCCTATAGACCCACCCCCTTGCCCCATAGGCACCCCTATAGTCCCTATAGACCCACTTTCTTGCCCTATACACCCACCCCCTTGCCCCATAGACACCCCTATATTCCCTATAGACCCACTCTCTTACCCTATAGTCCCTATAGACCCACTCTGTTACCCTATAGCCCCTACAGACCCAGTCTCTTACCCTATAGTCCCTATAGACCCACTCTGTTACCCTATAGACGCACCCCCTTGCCCCATAGACACCCCTGTAGTCCCTATAGACCCACTCTGTAGGGCCCTATAGCCCCTACAGACCCACTCTCTTACCCTATAGTCCCTACAGACCCACTCTCTTGCCCTATAGCCCCTATAGCCCCACTCTCTTGCCCTATAGCCCCTACAGACCCACTCTGTTGCCCTATAGCCCCTATAGCCCCACTCTGTTGCCCTATAGCCCCTACAGACCCACTCTCTTGCCCTATAGCCCTTACAGACCCACTGTCTTACCCTATAGCCCCTACAGACCCACTCTCTTGCCCTATAGCCCCTACAGACCCACTCTCTTGCCCCATAGCCCCTACAGACCCACTCTCTTGCCCTATAGCCCCTACAGACCCACTCTCTTGCCCCATAGCCCCTACAGACCCACTCTCTTACCCCATAGCCCCTACAGACCCACTCTCTTGCCCTATAGCCCCTACAGACCCACTCTCTTGCCCCATAGCCCCTACAGACCCACTCTCTTACCCTATAGCCCCTACAGACCCACTCTCTTGCCCCATAGCCCCTACAGACCCACTCTCTTACCCTATAGCCCCTACAGACCCACTCTCTTACCCTATAGCCCCTACAGACCCACTCTCTTGCCCTATAGCCCCTACAGACCCACTCTCTTGCCCCATAGCCCCTACAGACCCACTCTCTTGCCCCATAGCCCCTATAGACCCACTCTCTTACCCCATAGCCCCTACAGACCCACTCTCTTGCCCCATAGCCCCTACAGACCCACTCTCTTACCCCATAGCCCCTACAGACCCACTCTCTTGCCCTATAGCCCCTACAGACCCACTCTCTTGCCCCATAGCCCCTACAGACCCACTCTCTTACCCTATAGCCCCTACAGACCCACTCTCTTGCCCCATAGCCCCTACAGACCCACTCTCTTGCCCTATAGCCCCTACAGACCCACTCTCTTGCCCCATAGCCCCTACAGACCCACTCTCTTGCCCCATAGCCCCTACAGACCCACTCTCTTGCCCCATAGCCCCTATAGACCCACTCTCTTACCCTATAGCCCCTACAGACCCACTCTCTTACCCTATAGCCCCTACAGACCCACTCTCTTGCCCTATAGCCCCTACAGACCCACTCTCTTGCCCCATAGCCCCTACAGACCCACTCTCTTGCCCCATAGCCCCTATAGACCCACTCTCTTGCCCCATAGCCCCTACAGACCCACTCTCTTGCCCCATAGCCCCTACAGACCCACTCTCTTGCCCCATAGCCCCTACAGACCCACTCTCTTGCCCTATAGCCCCTACAGACCCACTCTCTTGCCCTATAGCCCCTACAGACCCACTCTCTTGCCCCATAGCCCCTACAGACCCACTCTCTTGCCCCATAGCCCCTACAGACCCACTCTCTTGCCCTATAGCCCCTACAGACCCACTCTCTTGCCCTATAGCCCCTACAGACCCACTCTCTTGCCCCATAGCCCCTACAGACCCACTCTCTTACCCCATAGCCCCTACAGACCCACTCTCTTGCCCTATAGCCCCTACAGACCCACTCTCTTGCCCCATAGCCCCTACAGACCCACTCTCTTACCCTATAGCCCCTACAGACCCACTCTCTTGCCCCATAGCCCCTACAGACCCACTCTCTTGCCCTATAGCCCCTACAGACCCACTCTCTTGCCCCATAGCCCCTACAGACCCACTCTCTTACCCCATAGCCCCTACAGACCCACTCTCTTGCCCCATAGCTCCTATAGACCCACTCTCTTACCCTATAGCCCCTACAGACCCACTCTCTTACCCTATAGCCCCTACAGACCCACTCTCTTGCCCCATAGCCCCTACAGACCCACTCTCTTGCCCCATAGCCCCTACAGACCCACTCTCTTGCCCCATAGCCCCTACAGACCCACTCTCTTGCCCCATAGCCCCTACAGACCCACTCTCTTGCCCTATAGCCCCTACAGACCCACTCTCTTGCCCTATAGCCCCTACAGACCCACTCTCTTGCCCCATAGCCCCTACAGACCCACTCTCTTACCCCATAGCCCCTACAGACCCACTCTCTTGCCCTATAGCCCCTACAGACCCACTCTCTTGCCCCATAGCCCCTACAGACCCACTCTCTTACCCTATAGCCCCTACAGACCCACTCTCTTGCCCCATAGCCCCTACAGACCCACTCTCTTGCCCTATAGCCCCTACAGACCCACTCTCTTGCCCCATAGCCCCTACAGACCCACCCTCTTACCCCTTAGCCCCTACAGACCCACTCTCTTGCCCCATAGCCCCTATAGACCCACTCTCTTACCCTATAGCCCCTACAGACCCACTCTCTTACCCTATAGCCCCTACAGACCCACTCTCTTGCCCCATAGCCCCTACAGACCCACTCTCTTGCCCCATAGCCCCTACAGACCCACTCTCTTGCCCCATAGCCCCTACAGACCCACTCTCTTGCCCCATAGCCCCTACAGACCCACTCTCTTGCCCCATAGCCCCTACAGACCCACTCTCTTGCCCCATAGCCCCTACAGACCCACTCTCTTGCCCCATAGCCCCTATAGACCCACTCACCACCCCCACGCCCCCCCCCCCAATTGACCCCATCCCCTCTCCCCCATTGGTCCCTTGCTCCCCCCTCCCTCTCTCCCATTGGCTGCCCGCCCCGCTGAAGCCCCGCCCCTCCGCAGTGCGCATCCACGCTGCTGATGCTGGTGAGCGGGGACACGGGGACGCTCCTGAACTACGTGGGATTCACGAACCTGCTGTGGTACGGGCTGAGCGTGTGCGCCCTGCTCGTCCTGAGGCACCGCAACGGGGGGAAACCGGCTCCAATGAGGGTGAGCCCTGCCCCATAGCGCTGCCCCATAGCGCTGCATCATAGAGACCTGCCCCATAGGGCTGAACCTGCTGTGGTACGGGCTGAGCGTGTGCGCCCTGCTCGTCCTGAGGCACTGCAACCGGGGCAAACCGGCTCCAATGAGGGTGAGCCCTGCCCCATAGCGCTGCCCCATAGCGCTGCCCCATAGAAACCTGCCCCATAGGGCTCAGATGCACACCTGCACTCATAGTGCTACATCAAGAGGGGGCTAAGCCACGCCCACCGCTCCCATAGCCACGCCCATTGTCAATAAGCCACGCCCACACCATATAAGGCATGCCTGCTACTGCTAAGCCACTCCCCCTTAAAGCCCATTCCCAGCCCCACAGAGTCTCCCATTGGTGGGGGGGGGGGGGGGGGCGGGTCCTCGGCTGACCCCGCCCCCTGCGGCATTATACCGCCCCCTGGTGGCCGTGCCGCAACGCAATGCCTGTAGCGCCCCATAGAGCCCCACAGCACCCCATAGCGCCCCACAGCACCCCATAGGGACCCCATAGCGCCCCATAGCTGCCCCACTGACATGCTCTCTCCCCCCCAGGTGTGGCTGTGGGTGCCGGTGGTCTACGTGGTGCTCTGGGCTCTGCTGCTGCTCTTCTCGCTGTGGGCCGAGCCCCTCGTCTGTGGGGTGGGCTTGGGGGTCACGGCCACCGGAGCCCCCCTCTACCTGATGATGGAGCGATGGGGGGCCCGCTACCCCCCCCTGCGCCGCGCAGTGGGTACGTCCTGCTATGGGGGGGCTATGGGGGCTACGGGGCGCTATAGGGGGGGTATGGGGGGCTATAGGGGGGTTATGGGGCCCTATGGGGGAGCTATGGGGCGCTATAGGGGGGGCTATGGGGCACTATGGGGGGCTATGGGGGGGCTGTGGGGCGCTATAGAGGGGCTATGGGGGGCTATAGGCAGCGCGTTGGGGTGCATCCAGCAGGGGGCGGGGTCAGCAGAGGACATGCCCCCCATTCCTGCTCAATGGGGGGCTCTATGGGGCTGGGTATGGGCTGCAAGGGGAGGGGTGGTGTGGGTGGTTATGGGTCTCTATGGGGTGCTATGGGGAGGGTGCTATGGGTCTCTATGGGGCGCTATGGGGATCTATGGGGCGCTATGGGGTCACAACCCCTCTCTGCAGCCTCCCTGACGCGCTTTGGGCAGCAGCTCTGCCTCGTTGTGTACCCTGACTGCGAGCCCCAGCCCCATAGCGAGCCCCATAGTGGGCCCCACAGCGACCTCCAGCCCCACGTGGAGCAGCAGCAGCCCCTCACGTGCCAGCCCCACAACTGAGCCACCCCTGTCCCATCCAACTCCAGCCCCACACCTGAGCCCTGTGGGGCTGCCCCACAAGTGCCTTCCCCTGCCCATAGCTCTGCCCCAGTGCCTTGGCTCTGCCCCCCCCCCCCTTCCCCCTGGCGCGTGAGGGGCTGCCCCATGGAGGAGCTCCCAGGTAAGAATGTGACCCATAGATCCCACCCCACATCCTGCCCCATAGCCCCCCACATCCTACCCCATAGCCCCCCATCTCCTGCCCCATAGCCCCCCATCTCCTGCCCCATATCCCCCCACATCCTGCCCCCCATCTCTCCCCACAGATCCGCCGAGCACCGCCCCCCGGAGGGGCGTGTCCAAGCATGGCCCCGCACCCTTTCCCCCACGCTCGTTACGTCATCGCCATGAGGGCGTGGCTTAGGGGGGAGGCGTGATGTCACGGCCTGACGTCAATAAACGTGTTTGCAGAGGAGGCTGCGTGGTGACGTCACGAAACGGAGGGG